ACCTTGTCTGACATTGGATCACAGGATGTATTTTAATGAAACTTTCAGGATGCAATCTTCAGATGCAAATGTAGCCGTTTTGGATTCAGTTCAAATGGCAATTAACTTCAGAAAACACAAAAATGAGTAGAATTGGTTAGGTTAGCTGGTTATACGCTCCGAGAATGAAATCTCGCGATATTATCACATGCATTCCTTTCAGGGTTTGGCATTTAGGGTCATAGTTAACAGGTTATTTATTTATGCAGAGCTTCATCAAAGGATTCACTTTTCTGTTTTAGAGGCAATTTCAATATGGTGTTTTTTAAATTTAAATAAAAAACACCATCTTAAAATTTATTTGTCTATCTTGAAATCTATTTGTTGTATTATTTTATTTGTTTATTTTTATTATTTGTTTATTTTTTAATTTAATTAAATTTTCATTTTATTTAATTTTTATTTATTTTTTTTAACTTATTTTCTCCTTACTACGTTTTGGGCATTAGTAATTCATAATGCATCTTGAATAAATTCAGTAGAATGAAGATGTGTTTTATAATAATAGATAATAAATTAGAGGCTCGTGCACGACAAACCTGGTCGGAGTTTGAGGAGTTTTGTCACTCAGACAAAAACAAACCAAAGATAAGTCATGACATCAGATCAACTTCAGTTCCTGGATGGTCGACAGGCAAATCCCACTTCCGAGCCGGATTTCTAAAAAGGGGGGCTGAGCAACAACAACAATAAAAAAGGAGCACAACACCGGAATGAGGAAACTGACGGAGGGCATTCCGTGCGCAAAAGCAAGTGGATCCAGGCTGATAACCATCCAACGTGATGAAGCTCAGGTCAGTCCTCCTGAGGACAGGACAGCATCTCTCTCTCCCTCTCTCCCATCCAGTGATGTCTCTGTTGCTCCTCGCGGTGCTGTCTTCCTCGCTCGTGCTGCGTGACGCCGAGGCGTGGGGCGCCAACGCCAAGTACGCAGTGAACTGCCCGGACAGATGCACCGCGGAGCGCTGCGGCGGCGGCGGCGGCACGCAGCGGTGCGCGCGGACCGTCCTGGACGACTGCGGCTGTTGCCAGGTGTGCGCGGCCGCCAGAGGGGAGCACTGCTACCGCACCGTGTCGGGCATGCACGGCGTCAAGTGCGGACCGGGGCTGTTCTGCGAGTTCTACAAGGATGAAGACGATTTTGGAGACGAATATGGAATTTGCAAAGGTACGTGCTCGCGCTGCAGACACAGGGTGGGCATGCCCCTCTATGGGAATATCTCAGCCTTTTGTTCATCTGCAGACCTGACCACCGTCAGTTATAATGCACCCCATCCCATGTAAGTGACAAGACTGGTGTTTCCTTCTTTTGCAGACTGTCCATATGGGACATATGGGGTCGAGTGCCGCAAGCCCTGCAGCTGCAAAGGGGGCATCTGTGACAGGGAGACAGGGGCTTGTCTCACCCTCACTTTCTTTGCCAAAATTGCCAACAAGCTCAAGGCTGCAGGGCCACAAGCAGGTGAGTGAGCTCAGATGTCTTCAAGTTTTCCAAAAGGCACATTTAAGCCCTAAGATGAAAAACTAAACGGGTAAATGAGCTTCTTGGCTTTATATTCTCAGGGACTGAGGTGGGCTCAGGACAAGTGAGCTCTGACAGACCCACTGCTCCCAAGAGGCTCAATCCTCGCTGACAACAAGGAAGATGTCTAGTAGAAATGTAGCATTAACTTATAAATGAACCAAAATGTATGTTTTGTTATTTTTTAAAAGTATTTTGTTCTGTTTGTTTCAGTTTTTATCTTTTGTTTCTCTGCTTCAATTTTTATTTTATTTTATTTTTTGTGTTTTGGTCAATTTATGTTCTGTTGTCTTTTTGTTTGTTTAAAAGTCTTCTGGTGTGCCTTTATATTGTGCATCATTGCTGCTGAATAAATCATTTCTTTAGGTGAAATGTATACCATATTTATTCATGTATAATATGATCTTGAGTATAATACGATCGTCATTCTTTGATCTTACAAAGCACAAAAATCTAATTATCAGTAACCCGTGTATCCCCTTTTTATGGATGATTTTTAGGGTTAAATTTCTAGTATCATGCATGAATAAATACAGTATGTCATGTTTTTGTTTCACTGAACACTGTTTGTCCTGAGCAATATACTGTTTCTAAAGCACACAGCATCATTCTTCTGAGGAAAATGATCTTACAATAAAACCAAAGTTTAAACCCATTTCATTGCTTGTTTTATTTCTCCTTTTTGACCAGTTCTAAATATTGACATCAAACCAAGCAGGGCTGAATCATATATAACACTTAATTGCACATGCAAACTTAACAACTTGAACTATTTTACAGTCTGCAACAGATTTGATGAACAGTTTCCCACATCGTTCAGGTGGGTTCAGTTTGCTGGGTCCCTCAAAATCAATCATTGCAAACTCTCAGCTAAAAAAATATATTTCCTCATTTTTCTAAACATTTTCTACCTCCTTCCTGTGCCAGACTTTGGACTCAGACAGAGTTGTGTGAACAGTGTGGGAAAAATATATCTCTACAGTTCTGCTGCAGAATCACAACAT